GTGGGGAGCATCCTGGCTGAAGGGGAGGATCAGGGACCTCTGAGCCAAGACCCAAAAGATTTAGAGAAGTCAAATAAGCAGAAAAAAAGATAAGAATTCCAGACAAAAGGAATGACCTGTGGGAAGGCCCCATACAGGAAAGGTCCCTGGACACTGGAGCGACAGAAGGGGTCACGGTGGAGGGCGCAGGGTTCACAGCCCCAAAAAGGCCCAAGTTCCTTCTACTGGAGGAGGGAAGGGCTGCTCCATGGCCCTTCCCCACAGTGGCTGCCACAGTTCTACCAACTGGCTTCCTACACCAGTCACTGTCATTGGTCAAGGAGTTTGGACTTTGTGAGCACAACTGGAAGGTCATTATATAATGCAAAGACCCTGAAGTCTGGTGGCCACTTTGTTTACTTTGTAAATGCAGAAACTTCTATTCAAGTCAGTGCTATTAATAACATGTTCCAAGTCCACACAGCATCTTTCTTTTTTTTTTTTTTTTTTACAAAGACCACAAATTGTTTGATAGTTATAGTCTTGATCATTTGTATTTGGAACATTCCTTTAAAGAAACCCTGGGCTGAAGGACTAAAGAAACAAACAGCACTGGGGACCCTCCTCGTCCGGGGCCTCATCCCACTTAGGTGGGCCGCTACTAGATAAGCCCAGAGCGCAGGCCACAGAACACAGGCCTCACTTCGGGACGGGTGCTGCCCACACGTGGTCCAGACAGCATCAGCCTTGGGGGGAGTGCTACACAGCCCACGGGCAGGGGCCATCGGCAGCAAGCACGCTGGATCCCAGAATCAAGGAGACTGTGGGACAGCAGTCCCGGAGACTCCCAAGGGGGTGTTGAGGGTATAACTGATGATCATGAACCACTTTGTAAATACTGATGTAATCACAGGGGAGCAAAAAGAAAATCTCAACTGGTGCTTTTGGATACCATAATATTAGTTCTCAGTCTAAGGAGCCTGACCTGAGACTGAGCCAGTTCTGGGATCTTCTGTTCTCTATGCCCAAAGAGTGATCACATCAATGGGAATTAGGTGTCTGCAACACCACACCAAATGGAGAGGCAAGAGTCAAAGCTCAAACAACTGCTTTTAGGTGGTGCTGGGTGAAAGGGGAACTCTATTTACCCTGTTGGTGGGAGTATAAATTAGTTCAACCATTTTGGAAGACAGTATGGCGATTCCTCAAGGATCTAGAACTAGAAATACCATTTGACTCAGCAATCCCATTACTGGGTATATACCCAAAGGACTATAAATCATGCTACTATAAAGACACATGCACATGGATGTTTACTGCAGCATTATTCACAATAGCAAAGACTTGGAACCAACCCAAATACCTATCAACGATAGACTGGATTAAGAAAATGTGGCACATATATACCATGGAATACTATGCAGCCATAAAAAAGGATGAGTTCATGTCCTTTGCAGGGACATGGATGTAGCTGGAAACCAGCATTCTCAGCAAACTATCGCAAGGACAGAAAACCAAACACCGCATGTTCTCACTCATAGGTGGGAGTTGAACAACGAGAACACATGGACACAGGGCGGGGAACATCACACACCAGGGCCTGTCGGGGGGTGGGGGACTCGGGGAGGAACAGCATTCGGACAAATACCTAATGTAAATGATGAGTTGATGAGTGAAGCAAACCAACATGGCACATGTATACCTATGTAACAAACCTGCACCTTGCGCACATATACCCTAGAACTTAAAGTATAACAATAAAAAAAAAAAGGAAAAAAAAAAGAAAGAGTAACTCTGATGGATGGCAGGTGTGTTCTAGCAGCTTCTCACCAGTGATTCTCAACCATGGGACACCCTCACAGTGTGTTCCCCAAGCCTACTGAGGCGGATGTGGGGGGCAGGCATGTGTGTCGCTAAGCTCTCTGGGCGGGACTCCTGTGATCTCTGCATACCTGGCGTCCACCTGGCCAGCTGGCAGATCAGCAATGGTTTCCTCTGAGGTCAGTGCAAATCACTGTCACATAAAATTTAGAACCCTTTCTGGAGTGAGGGTGGGGATCCGAGGTCCCCCGCGATATGGGGAGTCTGCGCTGCTGCAGTGGTCATCAGAGAGCACGAGGACTCCTCCAGTGCTGCCCAGTCCTCGGATCCTGGGCGGTGCACGCCCCACTGTTTAGGATAACACACTAACAATTCTACTCTCTGAGCCGTTCTCGCTGGCTCTCATTTAAAGGAAACAATTAGGTCTCCAAGTTGAAACTGCTTCCCACAAGGGAACAGGCTGCAGCCACTGATGGGCAGACCTCAGCAAATTCCTCCAGCTCAGGGGCCTCAGTCTCCTCTTCTGGAGAAGGAAGGGGCTTGGCTAGAAGAGTTTTGGGTTTCTTTCCATCTTAAAATACAAAGGTGGGGTAAAACTTGGAATGGGAGGAGTTATTGTCTCCGTTGTATAAAAAAACTTCACTTTTCAGACAGAATGCTGGATGTGATTAAGTTATTACCAGGTCTTCTCAATCCCTAAGTGACAGGCCAAGAACTGGTCTCCTCCCTGGGTAGGACAGAGTGACATCAGGACAAGGCAGAGGCAGGAGGGGGAGCACTAAGCTGTGGCTTTCCGGGCGAGAGCGGGCTCGGAGTGTCAGCCCTAATCTGGGATTAGTGGGAATTGAGGTGGGGGAGGGCAGCGAGAAACTCCTGCCAGAGTCAGGGCAGCCGCGAATGGACACAGCAGCCCCTGCTCTCCCACACGGTCATCACAGTCACAACAGCGATGGCCCAGGATGCTCGGATGTATGTGACAATCACCGGACTCAGGGCGGCCAGGAGTGCAAACACCACCACCTGCTCACGCACAATGCCACCACTGACACAGCAGCGATGGCTCAGGATGCGGGGAGGGTGTGTGACCATCACTCATAGGGAGCCCGGTCACCCAGATCCTATCTGCCAGCAACACGTTCCATTCGAATGGAAATGAAATGACATTCCCAGGCATCAGGACTGTGTTCCCCCACCCCAGTCCCCAGGAAAGTGAGCAATACCAAAGACTGTCATCACAGAACTAATGGACTAGGTCCATGCAAATATGGCAGACGTGGCCCTGGGTTGCTTTGAGCATGAGTCCAGGACACTGTTGCCTCTTCCGGGCAGGAAGTCACGAGAGACAGGGGCATGAGACTGCAGTGTGTGGCCAACAGCAGAGAGAGAACAGAGGAGGCGCACACAAGCTGAGACCCTCTCTCTCCCTGAATGCAAACCCTCCCTGATCCCACACGAAGACTCAGGTAAAAAATCCAAAACTTTCAAATATTTCCTTCAGTGTTCTCAGATTGACTTGACCAGCCCAAGACAGATGCCAGGGCAGGGACGTCCTCTTCTCTGCCTCTCGACACTTCAGGCAGATGGGAATATGGAAGGATCATATCCAAGGGGATCATATTTTCTGAAGCCAATCCATACATGTCAGGAAACAAACTATCCCAAATATACAGAAGGTAAGGTCACTGCCTCTGGGCCTGAAACTCCAGAGTTAGAAGCGGAACTCACAGGTCATTCACCCAACACTCGCCTGCCTCCTACAAAGGGCACGGATGAGACTGGTGCCCAATCGCGCCACCAGCCTGGAGGGGACTCAGCCTCAGAAGCCTTGATACCAGGTCAATCAGGGGTCAGTGATGGAAGCTTCCTGGGGAAATACCTGCATTTGCTCCTGGATGTGAGGCCAACAGGAGTGGAGGGCTCCCACAAGAGACCACTGGTTTCCCTGAGAAACTCTTCAGCTCTGGACAGCTGAGGCACAGATTCTGGGCACCAGGACAAAAGTCAGTCGACTGACCCTGAAGCCTTTTTTCCTCCAAAAAGTACAGTCATTTATGTTCTTTTTCAAGAGTTCAGGACAAGGTCTCTTGATTTGCTGGATGTCTGCTGATAGTCAAAGCTTTTTTGTTTTTTAATTCCATGGCCATGTCTTCCAAGGCCATGGCACAAGGACCAGGCACAGGGCCTGCCATGGAATATTTTGAAGGTTGATGGGGCCGGACGTTCAAAATTAGCAATTCTGCTATTTCCACAGCGAATGACCACTGAGCTTTACATGTAGGTGCAGGAAACTGTGGCCTGGAAGGGCGGAGCAGCGGCCAAGACTAGGGGTGCCTCCCCAAACTCACCCAGGCTCCAACTCCTCCTGTGAAATGCCTAAGAACAGTACATACCAGGAACTTGTCATTAAACTAAGATGTCTTAAAAGCAAAAATAAGTCAAGGAACAATCAGCGACTACAGAAACGCCCACAGGACTGTGAGGCAGCAGAGGTAAGACACGAGGCCCTTAGCTTGCAGGCCAGGGCAGCTGGGCTCACATGCCAGCTCTGCCGCCCACGAGCTGTGTGGCACTGGGCAGGCTGCCTGCCGTCTCTGGGCCTCGGTTTCCTCATCTGTAAAACAGTGATAACACCTATGTCCGGGGAGTTGTGAGGATTCAGAGATGGCAGACGCACCGAAAGCCTCGGTAGGATGTCTGCCCAGCGGCTGGCCCTCAGTAAACGGTCGCTGTTTTTATATGCCAAGGAATGCTAGTCTTTGGAGATAAATTATTGGTGAAATTCAGCTCTATGAGAGGTGGAAGCACATTGGGGTCACAGCTATTCGTGTATCATGTGCAAGCTCAGTGAGTGTCCGATCGGGCACGGGAATTCGCGCCGGGACTCCAGGCAGGGGAGGTACCGACTGGCGCGGATGAGCGCTACTGACAGTCCCTCCAACCGCCAGCCTGTCCCTCGCGGAGCCCAGGGCCTGGCGCACCTGCCGTTTGGAGAATAAAATCAATCACTTTGTCTTGTCTCCCAGTCAAGGGTCCTCGCTCCCCCGTCTCTCTCCTAACTCTGGAGGATGCTCTGCGCTGGGGGGGAGGACTCAACACTTCGCCTGGGTCAGGGGCTGTGGCGACGCCTCCAGGAAAGAGCTTGGCCCGGACAGACCGCCCCGGCATCAGCCGCCCCCCGGCCCGCAGTCCCGGAAACTCACCCCTTTCCTCTCGGCCTCCTCGTTCAGGGCGGTCACCCAGGCCGCCTGCCACTGGCTCCTCCAGCTGCCCAGCGTCAGGATCCAGGAGAGCAGCGCGTCGGACCCCGGGCGCTGCCCCTCTCCATGCTCC